CTAACAAGATACAACTCAACCGTTATAGCCAGCTATGCATCCCAATGCATATACGTTCCCTAACTAACGATCCTGAGACTCAAACTCATATCGTGGTACCATAATCATATATATAAAGCCCGTCTGAAATCAAAGTATGTCAGTCTCTTGTTTATTGATCTGACATAAGACTTGTAAACCAGCTAGTCACTCAACTTACTCAGTCGATCTGATTTAACCGCGAATAACAATTAATCCAGGTAGTCATTCAACTTACTCAGTCGATCTGACTTAACTACAAATAACAATTAATCCAGATAGTCACTCAACTTACTCAGTCAATCTGAATTAAATATAAGTAAGATTCAATTTTTATAATCCATTCCCTTATTCCAATAGGGTAGGTCTTAGCATTTTGAGCTAAACCATCCCTAATATACCACCGTCCCATACTGGTGCATACAATCCTCAAACATCTATGTAAATTACAAAACATAAATAATAGTTCAGCAATTTAAATTCCAAAACCATAATCCATATAATTGCATAAAATAGTTTAATATTTCAACAATTAAAATCCAGAGCATGAATAGATCAAATCTAATAAATAAATTACTCTATCATGCATTCAAAATAAGATTTATAATCATACTATATCCCATTAAATTGTTAAAATTAAACTAAGCAATTAATTTCCTTCCATCCGTTAACAGCATGAAAAGTGGTTTAATTTTATATTGTTCATTCCATTAACTTAGAGGTAAAGCTTATTCAATTAGAGGTCTTAATAACATCCAAAATTAAATATTAAGTTCCCCAGTAAAGTCCCAAAACAGTTCAGTTAAACCAATTGCTCCAACAGTACCCGACAAAAACTCCAGAACACAGACTTGAGAGAGCCTGCTCTCAAAACTGGAGAGCAGGCTCCATTGAAGCATGGAGCCGGCTCCATGCACCTTAAAGCCGGCTCTTGAGGGGTGGGAGCCGGCTCTTGACTCCCCAGAGCCGGCTCTTCACTTGGGGGAGCCGGCTCCCACGTCCATGGAACCGGCTCTCTCCCTCGCTGAGAGCCCTGCGTCTCCAGCCACTTCCACCTCTTCTATTATTCATTAAAACTGACCCTAAGGGTCTTAAGTTACATCCAGTTATCAATCCAGTCCTTTGTTTACCACAGTTTGCATTAAAAGAACAATCAAAACAATTACCGTTCAACATGCTCAAAGATCAAAAGGTGAAACCAAACTTGCAATAATACTTCCAGATTGAATTCAACACAAACAAATAATTAATTTAACCTAATACTATACATGCAAGGTTCATTTAATATCCAATTAAAATCCTAGAGATTATCTAGGTATGCACAGAACACAGGCCAAGGGGAGAGAGACTGAATAGAACTTGCCTGTGTGGTTTTGGGATCAAAACCTTGTTGCTGTCTTCCTAAGCTTTTCGACGACGTCCATTTACTGTCAACTCAACCTCTTACTATTCAACCTTTCCTCTTCCTAGGTTCGACTTTTGATCCACAGCCAAAAACCCTCACTACAATTGCTTTGTTTCTCACAATCGCTTTCTGTTTCTCTCAACCCTCTCTTTACGTGAACAAAACTATGTTTATGTTTTTAAAAAAAAAAACCCTAAGCCACCGTAATGATATATTTATAGGCTTAGAAAAAAATAAAACCCTAATTCTAATATAATTGTAGAGACGGAAACAATCTAATATAATTTTATAACTAAGTCGACTATATTAAAAATGTGACTACCTTAAAAGAGAACAAAACCCTAATTAAACAATTGAAACAATTAAAACTAATTTACTTAAACAAACCAATTAATTAAATAAAATAAATAATACAATTAATTCATTTTCCACAAAAGCATACAATAAACCAATTAATAATAACAATTAATACAATTAACTAAATCAATTCACAACAACTACAAACAATTAGACAAACAAGCAAATAAAGAATTAAAATGCAAAAAAAATAATTATTAAAAATGCCAAGACTATCCTTTTAAAATTGGGGTATTACAAAAGGAGAGTGGAGTGCCTAAGGATGTTGGTGGGAGCGACAATTTCAACTCTCTATAATAAATTGGAGGAGTGTATTTAAAGAGAGAAAAGTTTAGCCTCATAAGTTTTCAAATTTTTTATTAGGCTTCGTTTGGATTGAAGAAAATGAAAGAAAAAGAAAAGAACAGAAAAAGGATAAAACCTTCTCTTTATCCTTTTTTTGATAAAAATTTAACATTCTGTATATAGGGGATTTTTTTTTACACATTATACTTTTTTAAATAAATTTTAATGAAAAAAGCCTTATTAATTTTTTATTTTTAAAAATATGAAAAATATATATAAAAGATAAAAAATACTTCCACTTTTAATAAGTATTATAGATATAGATATTTCAACCATCTTAATTTAGTTAGGCCCTACATTTAATTGTTGGGTCCCACTTCTAGTTAGTTAATTCGCGTATGATACACGAATTAAACACGTACGTACGAATTTTGAAAAAATACTTCCGTTTGCCGATCAGAGTTGAAAGATACAGTAAAATACGCTTTTTTTTTTACTATTACCCCGTATCTAACACGTTTATTTGTTTATTCGTTTTGGTTGTTCCGTTTAATTCGTAATTTAATTTTTTTTTTTTTTTCGTTTACGAACTTCACCCTAATAGCGTAATTTTCTTAAACATGTCTTTTCCACCCTCTTTTGTTTGGTATAGCCATTATTTTTCAAACCATCAAAATAATGTTATTTGTTATGCAAACTATTGTCTTTTCTACCCTCTTTTGCTTGGTATAACCATTATATTTCAAGCCATCAAAATAATGTTATTTATTGTGCAATCTGACAATCTCTTATTGTTGTCACTCCAATTATGATCTTTAATCAAAGCAATGAAATATATATATATATATATATATATATATATATATATATATATTTGTGGAACACTATAATTGTGGAACATTTCTTGAAAAATCATAAGTTTTTATTGTTGTATAGATTTTTTGTTTTGTTGTGAGATCTTTTAAATTTTGTTAATATCTTTATTATTATTATTATTATTATTATTATTATTATTAGTTTAGAAGTTTGTAGATCACCACACTTCCTAAATGTTTTAGTAGAATATTATATATTTAATTTTTTTTTTTATGATTATTGTGATAGTGTCAATTGTAATATATTTATTTTATTATTTGTTGCATTTTCTTTATTGTCCTTACAAATATATATATATATATATATATATATATATATATATATATATATAAGAAAATAATAAGATGTGTATAGCCGAATTTTTGATCTCAAATTTTCAGTGTATATAACGTATTATATGCGTATGTATTCGTATTTGTATTTTTATATCTTCGTATTTTTTTGCCAAATTTTTTAAACATATTTTTAAAAAAAATATCGAATTATACTCGTACGTTTTCGTACCTATATTTTTTTCGTACCGTATTTTACTAACTATGGTCCCACTCTAGATTAAGGTGAGATATCAAAAATGATAAAAAGCAAACAGTTTTGTTACATGGGCATTTGGAATAATAAACCCTTTTATAATGACTTGTGTCCTCTTTCAAATTACTATTGCATCACGGATCTATTCTTCAAAAATCAACCAAAATATCATTACCGATCTTGCTTTATTTTCTATAAACTAATTGATTAATTACCAATCTTGTTGTTCAGTCAATTTTGGCATACTTTGAGTTCTCTTTTTCCCCCTAAACATTTTTCTTTAGGAATTTGTCTACAAAAGAAGCAAAATAGAAAATTCAGTGGATGCTAATGGAGATTCTGGGATGGCTTATGGTAGGGACCACCTCTTGATCCTCAATCTACCCATATAAGATAGATGATATGAAACAAGAAGAAATCAATCAATCATCAACCAACCCACCCAGCCACCATAAACCAATCCTCCCAAGATTGCCCCTCATTTTTATTCCACATGTTAGGACAGTGAAATGCTTGATGACAGAATGCCTACTTGGAATTCTTCTCTAAAAGCAAGAAAGCAATTTGAGTAGACTAGAAAGAAAGTGAATATATATATACATATAAATAAAAAATAATAAAAAAAAAATAAAAAATAAAAAAGGAGTGGGAATTGATGAGAAATGAGAGATCTATTGGTGGGAAGAAGTCCACCCAATGGAAAGATTTAGCTAGAGACAATGGAATAACAACACAATCTAATAAGTTTCTAACATGTCGCTAAAGCAACAAAAGATGGGGTCCAACAAGAACAACTGTCCAACACAAATGCTTTGCTTATGTATTGATTAATATTAGATGATGACTTGATTCACCTTAAACATATGCTTTTTGGGGGGTATAATTTAAATTATAGAGTTTACCTGCTCTAAGAAGATATGCCCAGATCTCTTTGAAGACCTCTTAATATATATTAATTAGTATATATGCTTACATCATAACCCACTTCTTATATTCCTTTGTTTAGCAAAGTACTCACCCTATCATATTTTAAGAGCATCCCAAAACATGGTCAAGATATATATATAGATATGGTTTTGGTTTAATTTAATAATTTGTATATATTAATTAAGTGGAAGGATAATTACAAAGAAGCTTCATTATGTGCTGAATAACACAACCTCTCTCTCTCTCTCTCTCTCTCTATATATATATATAATATATATATATATATATTATATGAACATGATTAATTGGACTGTAGTAGATGGGACTGGGCACCTACAGATTTTTTATTTAATTATTTTTTGTCTACTATATGATAGGCTTTGCATGAATCCACTAGTTAGTTGGTCAAGCAAAGTAATCTTTAATAAGCATTTTTAAGCACAGTGAGCAGATTTGTTGCAAAGTTAGAGCCTCCTTCCTTCCAGGTGATTACATCCCCATCTTCTTTGACTTTTGTTCTTACAGTTAATTTAATAAGCATTTTTGGAATATTTGTTTTTTAATGACCAAGTGCTACTATAATTGCATGTTTTATATATTTTGAAGTGCTTATATAGACTATATTGTTAATATAAAACACAACACTGAATCCTCTTTGATTGGAGAAGTTTGGGGGTGTATCTACTACAATATTGACAAACTTTAAACCAAATTATACATATTGCATTATATATACTGCTTTGAGACAGCTTCCCTTATCTGACTATTCTTTCTCTTCTTCTTTTTTCCAATTGTTTAATTTATTTTATATTAAATATTGGTACGTTTATGCTGTTCATGATTATAAAACTATTCATGTTTAGCCATGCAATGCGTTGTCAGAAACCAATTGAGCTTACTATAAAAGGAAGAGAGGCAAAACAAGATTTGTGTGTCAGTACAACCCCCAAACAAAAAAGAGAGAAAATTGTTTTCTCATATCAAGAGAGAGATGGAAAAAGATGTGTCTAGTCTTCTTTCTCCAACATGGGATGGAGATAATGAATTCTCTACGAAGTCCTGTGCTGAGAAGAAGCTCAGATTGTTCGGATTTGAGCTCGACCCTAGTAGGAATGGTGAGACATGCCTCAAGGGGTGTGTGGAAGGTGATGAAAGCGTGAATTCATCAACCACGGTTTCGCCCGGAAGGGAGAAGCCTCTGATCAAGGAGAAGAGCAGCTTGACAGGTGAGGCCCCGGAGGAAAAGAAGTTCGTGTGCCAATACTGTTTCAAGGAGTTCGCGAACTCACAGGCGTTGGGAGGTCACCAGAATGCTCACAAGAAGGAGAGGATGAAGAAGAAAAGGTTGCAGCTTCAAGCAAGGAAGGCCAGCATCAACTACTACCTCCAGCCTTTCCAAACTAACCATAGTGTCAATTACCATGGCTCAACTACTACTCCATTGTTTTACAATTATAACCCCTCCTACTATACTCCTGACGGCCAATTCACACTCTATGATGAGTCTCAAATTAGTTTCAGCTCGTCTGATCAAGAAATCCCTATAAACGGGTCCCAGATATCCCAAATATCAAACTGTTACACCTTACCTGCCCAAATACCTTTCCAACAAGATACATGTAGGTTCACTCTCACACAAGCCCAGAGATCTGGAGAGAATAGGCCTGTTAGAGTCAAGCCATGCCCTTTGCCTGGTTCAAAGCATAACTGTAAACATTTGGATCTTCAATTAGGGTTGAGCTTGCATTCCAACATCCAAAACAAGTCTAGAAGTGGGATATAATTGCATATATATATATGTATATGCCAATTTAGGCACAAAATGGTAATATCCTTCCTAGTTTAAATTCTTTCATAAGTCTCCCAAAACATGGAAAATTTTTATGGATCTAAGAAGTTCATCACAGGATGAAAAAACTTGTTCCTTGATCGAATATATATATAGCTGAGCGATCCCGTTACATCTGTGCCACCACTTATATATAGCTCTTTTTTCATCATACACACAGTACACACACCGGTTTCATTTACACCAGCCATGAATATATATGAAGAAGAGCGTTATCGTGCTTCTTATAAGTCCATTCCAGGTAGTCCATTCCTGGGGTGTGAAGCCGGTGAAAGACAGCGTGAAGTTTAGCAGTTTGATTTGGATGGAAGCCATGGCCTCAACTTCATTTCCTGACAATTTATATATTTTTGATGTATTAGCACTGATTGAAAATTGTTTGATTAGGCTACTTCTATTTATCAATAAACCATATATAGTCCACAGAATCTTTCATTTCAACCATGATTGATAACTAAAAACTTGCAATCTACTTTCCTGCTCACTTAATTTCTTATATGATAAAATTGAAATTGATTAAAGTTAAACATAATCCCAAGCTGGATGTGCCTTGTGAAGTATGAGGTCTCGTGACCAGGACGGAGCCAGCTTGGGCTACAGATGGGCACGTGCCCCGGGCCCAAGCTGACTCATTAAATTTATAACATATATAGGTATAATATTTAAAAAAATTATTTTGTAGCCCCCTGAAATTTATTTTCTTTCAAAAACAGCCTTGGAAATGAATTTTCTTTTATTCATTTAAGTATATAATTTATCTTTGTGCCCCCATAAATCTAAATCCTGGCTTCGTACCTGCTCATGATCGATTCCTTTTAGATGAAAATAATTCATTAAAGGTCTACCTCACGAGCATAGTTCGAACTATACCGGATTTGTGTGAGGGGCGGACATCCGAAAAATAAAATTATATCAAACATAACAAACTTGTTAGCTTTTTGGAATTAGATTTATCTTGGGTACCATTAAAAGAATTGGAAATAAGAATTGGTTGAGAGTCATATATGGAAGATATATATATATATATATATATATATATATGGATAGATAGCTAGATCTGGGAAATATTTTTCTACTTTGGATTAATTACTTTCTTTTCAATTATTTTACTGCATTCAAAGGGTGATTATTGATCCGTGTACGATAAGTTTTCAACCAAGTTGTTCAGATCTCACTATCGCGTATCATGTCATTAATTACTCTTTTTAACATTTTATATGGACATCATGCTGTTAACTACATATATAAAACCATCAATGATTTGCCAATTTGAAATTTTGTTTTTGGAAAAAATACGGAGCAAGATAAAAGAGACATGAAGACTTACTGTTGATCTAACCTTTAGAGAAAAGTTAAGAGTGATAATTATAAACAAAATTCTAGATCTGACTATGGAAGCCTGTATATTTTTATATAATTCATATTTTACTGACACATTATTTTATTCAATTTCGCAAGCTCAGCACTCTTATGTTCTGGGTTAGATTCTAGATCCATGACTTGTAAGCACTAAAATCCAAATCCAAATAAAATTCAAGCCACAACTTTACAATAAATATAAGAATGTCTTTGGCAATAATATACCATTTTTTTTTTTTTTTTTTGGTTTAAAGTTAAAATTTTGAATTGACAAATATACAATCCATAAGGCAAGTTAGCCCAGTGCTAACCACAAATTACAAAGAAGCCCAAGAAACCCAATATGATCTAACCCAAGAGGCCCAATAATATAACTGACCCAAGCATTCAAATGCTCTCAATGGTCATTCTTCACCGTCCGGTGATCATGATAATATCTCCATCAAATCCTCCATTTCAGTTCCTTAGATTAGGTGGTTTCGCCGGCGGACAAATCACCAATTCGGAAACTTCCCATTCCTATGCAATTCTTCTAGCATTGAAGGAGTCTGAGATTAAAGATGGCAATAGTTTGGATCTCTAAGGTGAGATGTAATAATGAATTGGCACTGAGGCAGCAGGGACGGAGCCAGAAAAAATTTCAGGGGGCATATTATAGTACTGTGTACCATACCATATACTTATAATATAATGTACATGTATATAAGTCAATATTTATGAGTATATATATATAGAAAGAGATAATGATATTTTTGGAATGAAATTAATTTATAAATATAGAATATAAGGATTAAGAAAACAATTTAAGATAAAAAAATATGAAACATATATAGAATTATACGGAGAATGAGAAAATTCAGGGGAACACTTTCCATATTTTCATTAAAAAACATATATATTATTAGAAAAAATATATAGTATATAAAAGAGGGAAAAAATCCAAGGGAGGCACATGCCCCTCCTAGTCCTTAATTGGCTCCGTCCGTGAGAGATTTCTTCTTGAAGATCCTCCTTTTGTGTTCATTTCATATGTGATAAACTAAGATGCCAAACCCATTTTGGAGTCTCAGTTGCTGTGGAATTCAAAGTTACCTTTCCAATGATGGGACGCCCAAACAATTAGCTCTACCAGGAGGATGGTTGTATTGTGGAAAGAGCCACAAGGGCTTGACAAAAGAGCATTTGAAGAATAGAGGATCATGAGATTCCAATTCATTATTACAAAAGATACACGTGGTGGAATTGAAGTGCAATGTACACCTTCTGTTCAATATTACTGTTGGATTACAAGCCCGAGAGTAAATGAATGTTTCGGTATTGAGGGCTTCGACCAAACTAGATGGGGCCACAGTAGAGTGAACAAATGCTGATTGTAATGTTTCAAGGTTTGGGAGATAGATAGAAAATTGACCAGAGGAAGATGGTATCCAAGTGTTCCAAAAAATGATGACCACAAATCATGAAAATCACTTGCCCTTACAACTATAGTGGTAATAAAAATTTCAAAAATTCCAGACCATAGCTTGGAAGCATGTAAAAGCTTCTTAAAGATAGTCGAAGCCTCCCACAAGGTGTAAGGGATCATGCATCTCTATCTTTGGGATTTAACCAAGCCTGGAATCGATCCAAGCACAATGTATTTGAACGATAGACTATTGGGTGCAACACTTAAATCTTTTTTCATAATACCTAAGTACGAAAAATAGAAGAAAAAAACTTCTAAACTTAGAGTGAAAAAAACTTGTGTATGTGTATAAACCTCTTAAGTGAATTTAAATAAATGTGTTCAAATTTTAAATTCATGAATTAAAAAGAGTCATGTTCTAAGGCAATGAATTTGTATAAATGTATTCATGTATTACATTAATCAATATGTATCCAATAAATGTGATGAAATGAACTTAACATGGTTCATCTTAGAATTAGGTGAATTGATTATATTAATTGAGAATACCAAATCTCAAGTATAAAAAAATATTGAAGCATGAACCACCAAAATACATGCATATATATGTGAACTCATTTAACACTGAAGATGCAAGAACTTCCTTCGATTTTTCTCTCTCTAAAATTCTTACACTTCAACAGAATGAAAAAAATCCAAAAAGCCTCCCCCTCTCTCTACTCGTATGGTCTATTTATAGACCATCACCAAAATTCTAACCAACTTATTGTATAAGGCTCTTATTCTAGGGCCTTCTTCCTTTTGGGCCTGACTTCATTATGTGAGCCTCAGATGTTCGGCCTAACTCTCAGTGTTGTGTTATGGGCTGAGTTTAACTGTTCGGTCCGATCCTTCTTTCGTGGGTGTTGGGCTCATTGCGGTACCTTTTTTGCTTGGGCTCGGACCTACCATTCAATCTGATGCTTCACTCGCAGGTCGGGTCTGGTCCAATCCGTCTTTGGTATCTTCAATTGCCCCCATGGACGGTCGGATCTAAAACCGATGCTTCGAGATTCCAAAGAAACTCCTCATTTTCCTGACTATTCGACCTTCGGGCCCACTCTGTCCTTATAAGTATCAGAGACGTTCCCTCAAACCTTTTTTACTGTCTCCATCTTGCATCACTGTTGGCCAAATCTTTGCTTGCTTATCTTTCTTTTTAGTCAAATCAAATCAAATCAAATCTTCTCCGGCGATCCTCTGCGAAAGCTCATTTTTCCAGCGATCTTGCAGTAATCTACGTTTTCTCCTTCTGAGGTTAGTTTCGTTTGCCTTTTTCTTTTGGAAGATCACTTTTTCTCCCTTAAAAACCTCATTTATTTTCACCATGCCTGTAGATCTAGATGTTCTTCGCATGAAACTTCATCTCCCTATCGATATAGAAATTAGAAACTGCCCTAAAGACGTGGATATTAGGACTGGTGCCGACCTTCTTCCCAGCGAAGTCTTGTTTACCCATCTTCAGTTGAACATCATTAGGTTCCCTTTGCATCCTTTCTTTAACTATGTTTTCAACAAACTAGGGATCTCCCCTCTGCAAGTAAATCCAAATTTTTTTAGGATCTTATCCGTTCTGCAACTACTGACTCGTGACAGAGGTCTGGATCTTAATATCATAGATCTTCTTCTCTGTTACAAGGTTAGTAAGATCCGACTTGAGGAACCATTCTACCACCTCTACTCGATTGAAAAGATGTCCATATGCAAAGACACACTCAAGTCTGAAAAGGGTTGGAAAAACAACATAATAGGGGTTAGGGGGGCCTGGTCTTCCCCAGCTGCGGAGGATTATCCAATCCCAAGCACCTTTAGCGTGTGTTCTGTCTATTCGTATAAGAAATTCAAAACCCATAAGAACGATTGTCCCTGCGAAATTTGTGTTCTTCGCTTTTGTACTTTCTTGTGCCGTTCCTTAGGCATTCCTTGTGACGATTTGAGCTACAGTGTTTGTAGGGATATGGACAATTACTTGAAGAATTACGTTCTGAACGATGTTCCTTCCTGCTCAGACCTTCTTACCTCAGACAACCTTCTCGCCATTTCAGCCCTCGGCAGCGCAATGAGCTAGCTCCAGATTCCTTCATTCGGCAGAAGGAAGAACCCTCCCCGAGTTACTGTTGCTGCTGCTGTGGCAACCTCTTATCCTGCCTCGGCTTCTTCTTCGGCCACTATTTCTGACACCATTCCGAACGTAGTGGCTGCTAATCCTACCGTTAGCGTTCCTTCTACCAATCCGAACGCACCTCCTCAGGTCAATACTAATTCTGCTGTTACTGCGGGTGCTCAGGATAAAGAGCGAGGCAAAATGCCTCATCCCGACAGTGCAGCCAACCTTGATGATGCATCTCATACAAGAAGGATTCAAATTTCTAGGCCGGGTACACTCTTGCATCGCCCAGTCAATTCTCCTGCCCCCTCTGGGCCTGCTACAGCTGCGGCTTCTGCTTCAGCTTCTGTTTCTGCCTCTGCCTCTGCAACAGCACCATGGACTCCTCGATTCGCCCGAACGGATGGGATATTCGTGAAGCCGAACGAGACAATGTTCAAGGATGGTCAAACCGCTATGGCATATTACAGGGGCATATGGACTCCCAAGGACATTAAAACCGCTAAAGGTCTATCCCAGAATGAGGTGTTTAGCAGCTTTCCTTTATCTGC